AAAATTTATAATAATACATAACTTCTATCCGGTAAAAAAGTGTTTTTCTATCGGCAAAAGTTATGTTAATAAAAGACAATACCATAAAAACTCTTTCTCTAAAGTCTGCATTTAAAAGTTCAATCAAAGTCCCTTCTAACAATCTTTTACAACTATGCCAGATATATCTTTAACAAAAAGACCTTTCCAAATGACATAGAAAATGAACTTTCCAATGCAAGTAACCTCTATAAATTCAATAGATCGGGGTACGGCTATCGGCTCTCTTCGTTAAATTGAAATGGCTAAGCTATTGTTGGAGCGATTTAAAATCGACATTTTAAACGTACTTTAGGTGACCGATAGGGTATCGAAATGATCAAATTTATATTCGGGCTACGATTCCTTATCTGTGAACGGCGTATCTTTCGATTTGAATTTGGAATTGTCACGTTTCGACAATGACATTTGGTGCTCGTATTTTGACAGAATCGAATTTAGAACACTAATTTAAATTGATTGTGATTGTCAAATGTGTCACGTCGACGTAACCATAGATACAATTATTGTGAGTAGATTTCATAGTTAAGACTGTGAAAAAAATTTCTCTTACTGACATTTAATAGACACTATTCGAATTTTTTTTTTTCAAAAATTTTGATGAGATCTAAACTATTTTAACTCGGCCGATTGAATTTTTTTTTGTTTCGCCTGGGTTTACCTTTTTGCCAATTATATTCATTATTAGTTACGTCCTCAATGTTTTAAGTTTTTAGTAAGTGTTTGTGCGTGTGTAACTATTGTAATCAGTCTAACCTCTTTTATTGTTCCTAAACTAATTTTCTCGAAATCCTTACGAGTGACAATTGTGTGCCTATCATGTTATGAATATATGGAAACGAGATATGTACTTATGCTTATTATTTGAATATAAAATTGTGTATCAACAGCCACCGAACCTTTTGATACAGACAACATGTCATAAATCATTTGGTTTGTATGTACCTGTAGGTACATGAGTTAATATCTAATACTGCTTTGATACACACACAACAGCGACTGTATGAAACAATATATGTTTATTTATTTTATTTATCCACTAGCTACCACCGCGAACTTTGTTTCGCCTTATTAAGATTGTTTACTTAGCCTTCCTTTTTAGTAGCAACATACCAACTTATGGAACATTTTACTATGCTATCCGACACAGAATTTTCACTTTTCCGGTTTTTTTTTATTAAATATTTTCAATGTTTCAATAAATATATAAAATTACTCGAATTGGTCCGTCTCCGAGTTTTGCGCTTAGCAACATAATTTGCGACTAATTGTACAGACGTAAAAAGATGCAAACTAATGCTAGAGGCTGCGGAATGAGAACCGGCGCGATAATATAATTCTTCGCTACGTAATTTTATATTTAAAAAACATTAAGTATCTTATTAAGTATCAGGATAACATAAAAAAAATGAATTAATTAACCTAAAATCCCACATTTTCCCAACAGGCTCAATCTACTATACTCGGCTAATGTATTCATTATTGTGTACATCACATATTTCTAACACTGGGTGTATAGAATTGGCTTGGATAGTATGAAAAACGGGTTATTTAGAGTAATCTGTATAAAAAATGGCGTTAAACTCGTTATTACATTTTTTTTCATCATTAAAACAATTATTTCTTATACGTCAGTCACGTGAAACGGTCATAGATTAGTCGAATTGACAATTAACGCACACTTGACGACGTGTGACGCCATCTTGGATAAGCGTTTTGGCGGGTTATTTAAATGAATATATCAGCTAGGTGATAGGTACCGGGTTCGATTCCCGGTTCGAGGGCAAGTTTTAATTTAATTTAAATTTTTTCTCAGACTTTAGGAGGGTTGTGCGGTACCGGGCGAGTGCCTAAACCGTACATGAAGGACATGGTCGAATTTCTAAGGCAAAAAGCACGAATTATAAAAATCTCATACTTGACGCTGGCTAATGCACAAATCGTGCCAGAGCCATTTAAAAAAATGAATATTTGACATTTTAATACTTGATAGAATTGAGAATATATTAAACTCAATCAACTTTATTCGTATAGGTAAATAAATACACTTATGAAGGTCAACAGAAGCGATGTTAAATTGATTCTAAATTTACTAGGGCAAGAAGAACTGGCAAGAAACTCTCCGCCACCCTTTTTAACAAGTTTTGAGTCATATAAATTGTTTGAACTGAAGCAAATCAATCCCAAGGATTAGGATCATTTAAATAATCGTAAAATTTAGAAAAAGCCTTATTGATTAATTTACGTTTAACGAGAGTTTTGAATTTATTCAGTGATAATCTAATTTCACTATATATAATTAGATATATATATATATATATACCTATATATATATAGATTTCAATAGCAAATAAATAAAAGTAGCCCATTTTGACAGTCGGTATTACTACAAAATCCACCCTTATAAAACGTATACAACATAAGAAACAACAAAAATATATAACTAAAAACCGAGGGACCGCAAATAATTTCGAATTCGCATCCCGTCTCAAACTTTGTTGCTATGTTGCGCCATGCTATGTTTCATTATTTATGATAGTTCTTAGTTCTCTAGGTGAGCTTACAAAGTTCTTAATGTGTACGCTTTTGGATAATTAACGTTTAGCTTAGGAATTTGTTAGGAAATCCATTATGGCGTTACAATTCTGCATTGATTTAATAAACGATCAGAAGGATTTGGAAAATAAATCTATTGATTGATAGACTATGATCTATTACACACTGGAATGGAAAAAAAGAGAGGTGAGGCACGCAAAATTCCTCTAACAATGATATCTTTGGATTTCGAGGCAGAATACGAAATTCCACCAGTATCACCTCGATGTCTGTCGTTCTACCACTAAACGTTTTTTAATCCGGTTTTGCCGCGCAACACCCACTGAAGTATTTCCGAACCAATTGGACTTAGGGTCCTTCAAGAAAGAACGTAGGTACCAGTACGCAAGCAGTGAGAGTACCAATTCTCAAAGGCTAGCAGCATACTCGCAAACCCATTGGCATTGAGAGTATCAATTCTTAAAAGGCCGACAACACACTCGCAAGCCCACTAGCATTTAGAGTACCAATTCTTAAAAGGCCGGCAACGTGCTCGCGAGCTCTCTGGCATTGATAATACCAATTCTTCAAAGGTCGACAACGCATTCGCGAGCCATCTGGCATTGAGTACCTACCTATACATTTGCGGTATCACTTAACATGAGTGCCCGCCCGTTTGCCCCCTGTTATATATAAAACTAGTGGACCCCACAGACGTTGTCCTGCATGATATTTAAAGCGATTAGGATATTAAGCAAAGTATGAAAGTACCGACTGCAGTGCCATCTGCCGGGCTGATTTGTGAATCTAAACCATTCCCAGATCCCCTTGAACACACACAAAAAATTTCATCAAAATCGGTCCAGTCGTTTGAGAGGAGTTCAGTCACATACACACGCACAGAAGAAATATATATATTAAGATAGGTAGATATTAATAGGCCAACTTCCGTTTTGCGCGAATCGCAGGCGAAATTTAAATTAAAAATTCTTTCACGTTTATCACATAGTAAATTGAAATCATTAAACTTCACTTTGACACATTTAATAGCCAGCGTAAAATCGATTTATTTGACACAAGAACCAATTATCAAGCATCGTGTCTATTTCGAATCGATTTAGCTCGTCACCTTAACACCAGGTTTTATCTAAGCCTTAAAGTCGACAGTCTGTTAAGAATGGCTGAATTCAAAGCCGTAATTATAATAATCTGAAAAAAAAAACTGTGGCGCTAAAACCGCAGAATTCTGTATCTGTTTCATGATTTGTCGATCTAATAGGCAAGTAGGTTATCAGCATCTGTGCCTGACACACGCCGTCTTTTCGAGTCCAAGAAAGTTAATTTTTGCACAGCCGGGGTTCGAACCTACGACGTCGGGGATGAGAGTCGCACGCTGAAGCCACTAGGCCAACACTGCTCAGTTTTGGGTGTAATATATATTAGAAATAAAATTTCAATTGAATTAGTATTAGTTCCTGTAAGAATAACAAATAAAAAACTGAACTAGTGATGATAATTTTTGCGTAGAGTCCTAATTTTTATCTGAAACAGTCTGAAATCAGGTTAGGCGAAGCTGTCAGCTGTTTTTGAATGTCAAAACCGAATCATTTGTGTTTTTTTGGAGTCGAATCCACAACCGTCCTGTAAAAAGTGTTTGAAATCATTAACTAAATCAAAATTTGTTCATTTTAATCAAATTGCATTGCAAACATAAATTTCCAAATCTCAAACATTAAACAACAAAATACCTGTTTACGAAGATTATTTAGCTTTAAATAGATATAAAATAACCTATAACCCTATCTTAAATGTATTTTGCTTAAACTACTAAATTATACATTCATAATTAAATCAAACCCGAGCGAGAACGAGTGTTTCAGTCTGAAAGCGTACAGCATATATACATAATATTATACGCTTACTTGATGGGCGACGCAGGTGCTACAGACTCCGTTGACAGACAAAGACGCAGATAATAAGGAGCATCCCATTGGTGCATCCGTCGCGTGACCACGCCCACCGCAAGCCTCGACCAATCGCAGCCCGCTACACATCTTGAATATTATCTAGTTATCTGCCGTCTCACTTGCGGCACACACGACGCTTTCAGACTGAAAATGTATGTTACATCACGGTTGTATTTCTAGAATCTATGGTATAACAACTTCAATGCGAAGCCAATATGGCTACCGTCTAACGATAGAATTTGACACGATAAGATTGTTTAAATTTTGTTTTCATAATCAGCTATGAATATCCACTGTTGGCTGACCTGCTTTGTTTTTAGTCGCGCACGCAAAGTCTACGCGAAGGGTCGATCAGGTGAACGGAACGAGGCCAAACTATTCTGGTTTGTTATAGTAGCGTTCTAGGAAGGAAACAAGGGCCTGATTTTACAAATTGAGATTAATTGTTCTCGTATCAAATTATGTGAACAAAGGAGCATAGACAAGATTTTCAGCTACCCCGTAACTCGTACGAAAGAGAGGGGTGTTGTACAAAGACAGCCGGGGCGCGAGGGGAGGGGCCCGGGTCGGCGAGGGTATGATTCGGGATTCTAGGGATGAGCTCTCGCCTCCTCTCGTTACTCTGGAACCGTTCGTCGCGGCCGTCGCACATATCTCGAATTGCGATAGCGCATCGAATGCGTATGCGTGATATGACAAGACAATTCCAAATTTAAATTTTTTCGTGCAGTGATTTTTCGGATTGACAATTGACATTTATTCTTTTTCGTTTAATTCAAGTTAAATCTTTTATGTGTGCGTGAAAGTCATGAAAATATTTTCTACTGTAATTGTTACAGTGATTGTGTGAATATGAAGATGTCTGGTAAGTTGATATTGCTATTGAAAGTACATTATTAAAAAATTCCTTTTAAAAATCGAATAATTAATGCATATACAATAAAATTAAATAATCTAGTTAATTGTAGTTAACATTGGTAGCTGATATTAATGGCTATTAATAAAAATAAAAAAAAGCAATTCCACAGATTAATATTCCTAATAATAAATAAGATTCACTAATTGATAACGTCCATATTAGTTACTTGTAAAATAAAATCGCTACCAATAGGTTGTATAACAAACAAACAGTTACTTATTGAATATTTATTAACCAAGATTAACATTTGTGAATTTGTTATAATCACAAAGGAATTAAGGTAAATTAAAATTAGATAATTAAATGCCAAATTAAATCGCGTAAGTATTATTTATTATTACAGATACTTTGCTTAAAGTATACCTATTAAAACAGAGTTAATTAATAGTCTATAATATTGACATATTCTTTAGAATAATATCTAAATGTTACGGACATAAAAACATAGACCGTAGATGTTTCTAAACTAATCATAATAATCTATGGTAGTATTATTAACTACTATATTTAACATAAGCGCTGTTATAAAAAATAAATCTCTTCGATATAATCTTGTCAAACATTATCTAATTCTGTCAAGTGTGTGCGAAAAGACCCGACCACAATTTGATTATTTGTCTGTGGTAAAATGGCGGGTGTCAACTTTTGGCGGGCGCCGCCGGGCCAAAGATTATTTGTATTTCTTATTTGTCACAGCTTATGTTAAGGGTTTTATTTACATCATCATGTGAATGCTATCTGTGAAGTGATTTATTTAAAATGTTTTTTATTACTATTAAATTCTTATTACAGATAAATATAATAGAAATAAACTATACAATGTTGAGTGTTTGATAATAGAAATCGTTTCTATAGAATAAAATGGCATAGATAATAAAACGTAAAAAGTATTGGTTTAAATAAGAAATGTATTGAACTAATAAAATCTGTAGGTATACTTAATATTGTGATTGCGTCACACTGCAAATGTTTCATTTACAACCCCTTTTTATGACAATATGACATCTTCTTAATAACGAAACGTGTGTCAATAAATAGTATGAACACTATTTATACTAAAACTTTTGAAAATAATCAAGAAATTTATTCTAATAAAAATTAAAATGTGACACAGTTATCTAACAGATATAACAATATAATTATTAATTTTAAAATAAGAATATGCAAAAACGATTACCCAAACCAATTCCAATCTATGAGTAGGGCAGTGCCAAAGTTTTGAAATAGGAACAGCCATTAAAATAGATTATACTTTATAATCTGTTTGACGTTCTCTAAACTCTATGGCAAATTTCCACAGCGTAGAAAATTAGAAAGCTCAACTTTCCGCGAAGCTAGCTATTGTTATTTTGAATACCTATTTAGCGGATCTGTATGTCCGATGAGTCTTGCGTTTTGCGGTTCTTATTCACAATTTACACTAATATATACCTTATGTTAGTGGAATAAAGGCGCTCGGCGTACGAAATATATTATTATAAATATGTTTAGAGAGTTTTATGATTGCGCCGGGCCATGAACCCGGGGACTAAAGCGCGCATTGTCAGTGCCGTGACTAATACGTGAAATCGTCGTGCTAGGGTCTTCGGACAACGACATCTGTGTGATATTTGCTGATTTTAATTAAATTTTGCGTCGTAATTTTGTACAAGTGTAGTATAATGTCGGCTAAAGATGTTGGATCTCTCATCGTCCTTTATGAAAATAAAAATGATTTCTTTAAACTAAAATAAAGGTTTGAAGTATTGATTTGGCATGAGATAAAAAATAAAACTTGGAATATTTGTTCATATCATAAAGATTAAAAAGAAAAAAAACTTAGACAAATCGTAAACTCCACAGCTGATAGGTATACCTAGTGAAGTATTAGTAAAATACATACTTGGAACAACTCCACATCATTCTATATCCAGCTTATGTTCTTATTTAAAATCTGGCGCGAATTTCTGCGGAAACCAGAAATTTAACGACAACTCCTCTGCATTGTCCCCGCACGAAGCCAACATTCAAAACATCAATGCTCGTCGCGATGACTAATTTGAATTTGAAATTCGAACACATTTTACGACGTAGTCCTCTGTCTTGCTGGCCACAAACAATATTTTTTATTCATAGTCTGTGGTATAAAATTAATAGTCTTTTGTTTTCATGTTTCTTTAATTTCTGTATATCGTTATAATATCTGTTTGTCATTCTATAGATAAATGTTCACTTAATTGTATCAATTTAATGCCTCGCTTTTAGATTGTGTTGATTAAAACTTTAATTCACTATAAGCTAACTTTTATCCTATTCCCACATATTCAATATAAACAACCTCAATTCAAACTATTTTTACTTATTTAATGACCTAAATTTATGTCTTACTGGCCTATAAGATCTGGCTGAAAACAGCAAATTCGAAATTTAAAAATTCAAAAAGAATTCCAACAGACTATACTAATATTATGGCGACAGGTGAAATGAGCATAGCAACAGGCTATAAAGGATTTTTTAGCATACATCCTGATTATTGTACTGCACTTTATAATGCAAAGTAGTCTAGTGATCTATGCAACGTCTAATTTTATAGAGTTTTTTAGTCGCCACGTGCTACTATGGACAAGATAGGGGTTGTTTTAACATCTATATTAGTTGTAATGGGGTCGTTATGATTTATGAAGTGTCTTTTACAGTGGGGTAGTTTATTGATGACACGCGCAATGTAATTCTGTTTCCTTTACTAAACACACATATGATGTTTGTCTTTCAATTTTTTTGTTACGTAATGGCCGTAATGGGCATAAATGAAATTGATGGTTACCATTTGTCATATACATTATTCGGTTCTGTCATGTTCAAACAAATGTGTTAAGAATCCCTCTATCGATTTAATATGAAACTATCACAGATTAATAATTCTATATTGATAGATAACCATAGATAAGACCATTATCTGTGGTACAATTAAACGTGTTCTAAAATTAATAAATCCGCGAATATTCATAACATTCTGAATTTCTTTTATTCATTAAGGATAAAAGAAACAAAGAAATATCTTTATGTAGTTCATTTGCATTTCGGAGGGATGCTCCGACACACAAGAGACAAGCGGATATGCTTTGTTGTCAGCGGAAATCAGGCATAATGCCACCATCTTGCATTCCATCATTTTTTTTATGTCTGTAATAAGAACGCGTCAGGATGCTTGCGATTAAGATAAAGGTATTGGCGAATCTCTTTAGATAAAAACTTGGACTATGGATATCAGAAGATAACTATTTATTTTATGCACGCGCGTTTAAACACTTTAACATTTCTAATTAACTAAACAATTCAAACATGATGACACTATGATAGCAAAACTATAGGTGATTAAATAAACAATTAACTATAGATTTTTAAAGGCCGGCAACGCACTCGCGAGCCCTCTGGTATTGAGTGTCTATAGGCGGTATCACGTTACATGAGCCTCCTGCTCATTCGTTCACGTCCGATAAAAATAAAAATTTCAAATGGTGGTTTGTAGATAACAAAACAGAAATATAGCGAATAATTTTCTGGTTTAATGAAATATAGCTTTGGCCTAGTGGCTTCAGCGTCTCTCTCCCTGAGGTCGTAGATTCGGTTCCCCATGGGCACCAATGGACTTTCTGTATCATTTAACAATTTCTCGATAAAGAAAAACATCGTGAGGAAACCGGCATGCCTTAGACCGAATAAGTCCTTTGACAGAAGGCTGATCACCTACTTGCCTATTAGATTGACAAATGATTACGAAACAGATACAGAAATCTGAGGCCCAGGCATAAATGGTTGTAGCGCCACTGTTTATTTTTATAATGAAAATCAGCCTAGACTAAAAGTCTCCAATTTAACATTAATGTATGTCAAATTTTGTGTGCCAAATGTATAAAAAATACTATTTAACAAAAGCAAAGATTTTATTAAAATAATTAAATTATTTTTTTGCCTGGAAGAAATCGCTTGTTAGCGATAAGGCCGCCCGTTGCCTTATAATTTATGTAACCTGTTTTTTTTATATGTATATTTTTGTATAAGGTTTTATTTTCCTTTACAGCAGCAGACAGCCAGGAATCTGGCAGCCCACCACCAAGTCCGACTGAATCCACGGCATCAGAAACTGCGCCCACCCTAGTTCACATAAAACAAGAGAATATGGTACCCGGCATTGATAGCAGGGAGTATTATGGCGCTGACTTTGGTCTACCCGAGACATACCTTCCACAGAACTATAGTGACTACGGGCGTTTGTACAGCGACATGCAAAACCCAGGGTTCCTAGACCACGACTTGAAGATACCGAACGGAAAGGATGAAAAGGACGATACAGATAACGTACCACCAGAATTGATATATAAAACTGGCGGTATTTACGCGCGTTTTAATGTAACTAGTGGTACGAAGTACGGGCCGTTTAATGGTAAATGGGAAACGCAGCCGTTAGATAGAAGATACGCGTGGGAGGTGAGTTACTTTTTAATATATTATACTAGCAGACCGGCCAAGCGTTGCTGTGGCTAAGGTTTTTGTCATATTACATAGTAGCAAACTATTCAAGGGAAACGGTAGGAGAACACCAGTCATGGGGACCACCATGCTTTTTTGGTGGTTATGCCATTAAATTGTAGCTTATGTGAAACGTTGGTACTTTCAACACAGCGCCATCTGTTAGAATTGTGACTGTCAAATAATAAACAAATATTTTGCAATAAAATAATATTGGGGATATAAGTTGAGATGTAAGCTATCCTATCTTTTAAGTTGGATCAAACTACACACGGTGTGCAAATTTGATTGATATCGGTTCGGTAGTTTAGGAGTACATAGCGGACAAACAACTTGACACGTAATTTATATATATTAAGATATAGTCTGTACAATGATCGTATTACCTTAAATAATGGGACACTGAAACGTCAATTATCAAACACACAATTTAATGTTTAAAGAACTTTATTTATCAATACAAAAAATTTATTTTTATTTACATGAGAAACTTAATATAATATAAACGAGATGCGTCGCCATCAGCTATCCCAATTTTAGTATATTAGGCTCATTCTAATATGTACTCATATATGTCAATCTACAGTTGAATCTTAAAACTATAAACCTTGATTTGAAAACTATACTATAGCAGACAAAATATGGAATTAGGTCAAGTTCCATAGATTACAAAGCACTATTATGTTATAATGACGTTAAAATCCTACATTATAGTTATAACTAAATTAGTGTAAATTACATGAACAAAGGTGTTTTTCAATAAAATTACATAAACAAAAGTTTAATTTTGATAAAATTACATTTTAAAAATTTGATAACCGAAGATGAAAGCTATATTACATTCGATATAATGATATGGATAGGATATGGGAATCGACCATCCACTACGCATAAAGCCCTACGCATAACCCACTAACACCCTACTGCAAATGGATACTCCCGGGGTAGCATTAAAACTATAACTGTTGTACATTACAACTTAAACAATCATAGAATTAACATCAACACAAGCTACAAGAACCATTGAAAGGTCGGCAACACACCGCTAGCCCAAAAACCATGGCACGTAACTATTTGTAGATTGCTTTTGTTTTTTAAAGGTGACAGTTGATCCTTGTTAACCGACCACTCAGTTAAGTGTCAAAACGGAATAAGTGTTAATAAATAATACCCAAAATTTGGTAGTTTTGAAACATGTCGGACAAGCGCAATAAAGTACGGACTTTATTGGTCTCAATTCAAGTGAGCAACTTAACAGTTTTTTTGACACTTGATCGTTTTGCCTAATTGGTTTTGTTGGTGACAGGATTGTTATATTATTATTAGTTATTTCTATACTGACTTCGCTTGTGTATAAGTACTGGTAATTTGATTTCGTATTTTCTCATACTAAGCGCATTAAGCCAAAATTTAATGTATTCTAAAGCTGTTTACTTAAGACTTCCTATAAAATGTCGAGAATAAACAGTAGAAATGTGTAGATAATAAATTAAACCACAGAATAGGCATGACTCTGAGGTGCCAAAAATTAACATAAACACAGCACACACTTATAACAACTCTTAAATACATGCACGCACTCACACATTTACATACTTACAGATTTACACTTATGTCTTAAGACTTGTGTTTGATTATTTGTAACACTAAATCTACTTTTTCTCAAAAAACTGTTTAAATAATGTACCATGTACCACTGACTAATTATTATCTAGTTCCCGCAACACAGGGACTCCCTAGTGTAGGAACTAGCGATATATGAATTTTGTCATTAAGAAAGTTTTTATCTAATTAATAAAATGCAACATTTATTTGAATGTGTTTAATGATTGAATTAATTTTAAAGGAAACTTATTACAAAAAACTTTATTCAAAAAGACAGCAATTATAAATGCCAAATAAAAACGATCTTAAAAACGCGACTAGCCTTTTCGCCATAGACATCACAAAACCATAGTCTAATAAACCATAGAGCAAGGACCGGAACTAAATTCGCGCTTCGACTCATCACAATGGCGTGGTTTGACTGCAATGCGACACCAACAATTATGAGATGTCTCGAATATCATTGAAAAAGTATCTTTTGAATTGTAAATAATCGTGAAGAACAATATATATTTAAGATTGCTTTATTATGTAATTTAATATTAATATTTTAGTAAGATTTCGTATAACACTAATAATGAATCGGCAAGCCAATCATATTTATATTCAAATATATTATAAAGTTATTAACGTATGTTAAAAACGTGCGGATCATATTTTTAAATATTTACTATGATAACTGTCCGTCCTTCCACAACTGAGTGACTTTTCAGGCACTTTTAGATTTAGCGTCCTTCAAGAGAAGAGCGTTTCAATTCTTAAAAGGCCGGCAACGCACTTCCGAGCTTTCTGGCATGGTGATGTATCACTTAACATCAGGTGTGCCTCCTGCCCGTTTGCCCCTGTTATATAAAAAATGTTTTTTTTAAAGTAGGTATTCAGTGAGATTGTTTTTGCCAGGAATCGAACTTAGGACTTCCAAATTAGACCTCGCTAAACGTTTGTGTTAACCCATAAAATTATTAATTTAGCAATTGAAATGATTTCTAGAAAAAAAGCTCGGATAATCCAAAAGACAGCTTTAAGCTTATCAATATATCTTTGAATTCGCGAATGTAATTCAATACTTTTGCTACATTGGCGTAATCCTGGAATCGCGACAGACAATTGATTTCCGTTTCCTCCCAGAAGATAACGCCACGCCTCGGGGTTCTTGTTAAAGTGCATTCACTAACGATAGTTGTCATTGCATTACAGATAATATTTAAATAGTTTTTGTAAATAATTAGGAACTTAAATCGGTTTTAAGTATTGTGACTCATATAGTTGCGATTTACCGAGTGTATAAATATGTTTATAACTAATTTTTAACAAAAAAAGTGCGTGCGTACAAAGTACACATGTCAGAAGTGAAACTTTGCCAAACTAATCTTTAAGTCTTGTTCATATTTATACAAATCTAAAACTTTAGATTTCCGAGACTTAGAGGGAGGGAAAAAGGAAGATATGTTAGGAATTTAATGAATTTAATTGTCATTAAATATTAAAAGTGTCGAAAATTAATACAAATAATAAATTTTATTTTTTTAATTTATTTCTTCTATAATAAAAACACGTGGCATTTTAATTTACAACTCGCCCTTCTCACTCTCTCTTAATCTCTCCCTTTTCTTCGACAAAAACACTGCACATCTTCGTGACGTTCCGTAAAAATATTACCCTCATGCGCCTAAGGAAGTTTCACTTCAAAAAAACGAAATCGAAGGAGTCACATCATAGTTTATTTGATTATGAAAAGATTACAAAAATAATCATCAAAATCAGTTTAACAATGAAGTTATTCACGAACACACACATTAATATTATGAGAACAACCGTAGTCGTTTGTCTTTTTTTTTAATATACGTTAAACTGTCTAATTGCACTCTTTTAACTAACGTACTTCATCTCTTTTTGTCAAACAGTGATTACGCTGTGATAAAAAGGGACACCTTGAAACCGACTAAAATAAACCGGCTATACGAGATAATTAAATATTAATAGTTTCATTCTTTATTTGAACGTGTTATACCAGTAAATACGCCAATCTGTGGTCGCTGACCAAGCCATTTCCGCTCTATTAGAACCTCTTTGATGGCTTTAGCTTTGTGATGTCTGTGGTTATTACAAAGGGGAGTTGTCAATTACAAAAACTACTTGTAAATGTCACGTACGACTAAACTCATTTCTGCGTCTGTTTTAATTATTAAATTAATATTATATTATAATTGTAATATAAAGACTAATAATAATAGTTTGCAGTCTTACAGAAAAGTTTCTATGAAAAAGATATCCAATTCTTAAAATCCTTATATTTCTGGAAATTAACAAAGACGTTTTAAAAGGATTAAACCCTCAAAGGGGTACAGTTGAAGCCACAATTTCACAGATATCTCAATAAAGATCGCAAAAAATTCTTTAAATGTCAAAGTGCAATAAAAGGTTGCGTACAAATAACGTTAATTTCGGTCGAGGCGTGACCCCCGTCAACATTGATTTTACACTTTTTCTAAAAAAACCCACCGTTAGGAATGACAATGCGGGATGTCATCGAATTCGTACTTAAAAATTCAAACTTGATTGGCAACTTTTTACGTCAATTGTCAATGCGAAATCACCAAAAAGTTCTCACGTTTTTAATTTTAATCGCGTAACAGATATATCGTATCTTATAGATATGAATAATTTAGATGTGAATTAAAATAACAAGTTTATTGGCAAGTGTCAATCAAAATTATAATTTTTATTCGATTGTTCATTTAGGGAGATAGAGTTCGATTTGCAAATGTTTTTTGTTAATTGCAATATTTTGAATAAATTTGCTCACAAAGGATATTGGTTATGAATTTTTTATTTGTTTACTTTAGCGAGAGCCGTGTTGGAGCATGGAAAATTATTTTTTGATATCAATACATTTCGCTCTGTTGAATTAATTTGTTTTTTTAATTTTAAATTCATATCCAAATGCATTTATGGTAATATGACTATGTTAATTTAATATTAAATTTTTAATACAGATCAGGGTCTTTAGTAAATCAATTCTAAGAATAAAATAATTAACAAATAGTAGGCAAGGAAATTTCAGTAGAAGTTCTAACTATCTTATAATATGCTAGAGAAATAAATTATAAATAAAGCAGTAATGTATTAACGAAACGAGTTCTAATGTTAATCAATCACAATTTTAAATTTCGAATGCGCTAATCTCGGCCGCATGGAATCCGTTGCATTAATGTCAAAATATCTGTCAAATTTGTGTGACATCTTTTCATAACTAGCCACCCCTTCAGCAAAGGATTAAGGACCCATTACATCTTCATTACGGTAGGCGGCTGACACTATTGTACTTGCAATAATAATAAAAAGCAAAAATA